ACGGAAGTCTGTGAACAATCTGCTTGGTGTTCCTGTGACACTTATCCCATGATTTGCCAGTGCAGCCCCGTGAATACATGGACGAAAATGTTTCCACCACCACCCTACGAACTCAAGATTGCATACTCCAAAATGCCTGTCTCAATCAATCGCACATCCATAATGTTTGTATGTTGATATGCTTGTAAAAGTCGAAACAACCTGGACTAGAAGTCAATTCACCAGTCCAGCCAGCTATGGCTCCCTAAGTTGCTTATATTTATTCAGATACTATTTCGTCATCATGCTTTATTACCTTACCTGTTTATACCTCATGAGGGTGTTTTTTTATGGCAAGATGGTGCAAACGGAAGTCCTTCGCAGGTTTATGGTTTCTCATATTTAAATCATCATAACTCTGAAGATAATAATTTTTTTTTAATTTTTTTTTTTCAAATTTATAATCAATATACATAACTTGATAAATACAAACACCAAAATAGGCTCTATTTAGTTCCCCTTTAATGATTTGAGGGCATCCCTGTTCCATAGGCCCAGGGTGTTTTTACTGGGCGTCGACGATATTTATTAAAATAAATTAAAATTATAAATTGATTGGCACAGTAGTTTTGTTTGTACTTTTATGAGAAAACTTGCATTAATTTCAGAGTGCATGGCGAATGTATGCAACATAATTCACATCCTTTCTATTCTGTTATTGATGTTGTAACACTAAAATAATCTCTTTGAGAAGTTGCTTTCGAAACTCCAAAAATGTGACTGTTAATCGTGTTGTCATCGCGGTAATTCACTTCAGCATTCTGTTAAAACAAATTGCATCGACAATTGGAAAATCTGGGATAATTGGTTTAATAATGAAAAACATGCATATTAGTTATCGAACCATTTTCTAGTATCTAAAAAAACTCGGATTATAATTAAACTTGTTAGAGGCCTGCTCGTCACCCTAAAAAAAATATACAATAACTGAAATATACATGTTTGAGTCCTGGTTTATTAACTTGTTATCTCTGGAGATGAACAAGTTCTAAATCATGCTCAAAACGTTATGTTGGACATATGCCAGTCTGGAGGACTAAATATTGTTTCATCTAGGTGTATTATGGGTAGAATACATAATACATGTCAATCCACAAAATTTTTACTTTGTGCAAATTGGTACTGCAGTTAATCATAGAAACATCTGAGGTATTTTGAGATCCAGTGAAGCATGTAATGTACAACCCTTTGCTACACTGACAATACTTGTTCAAGATGGCAATGCTCACAAAAATTCAGCTGGATTTTGTTAACAATATGATTGTTTTGGAGACTGAACAGAACTTCATGTTTACCATCTGTGATGTATGCAAATAAAAATTACAACCCAAATATGGGCATTTGTTACCTCGAGCATGCAAGAGGTTTGCCATTTTTAGCCACCATTCATATTTCTTTTAATTAGTCCGTTCGGACGAAATCCGAAAACAGGGACTTATAATTCGGAGTCGTATCTCAGAATCCCTTGGACCAATTTCGTTCATTCTTTGCATGTGCCTAGTACTTTATGTGGGACATATGCACATGCAGTGGTTTAGCAATTTGATTCAAAATGGCCAACTGGCAGCCATCTTGTTTTTTGAAAATGTTG